TAGCAGGAAATAGGTACCTGGGAGTTAGATAGCTGCTACAGGATGCTTCCTGGGGGGGGGGGTGTAATACAATGGAGGCCTGGTCGAGGACCGGGCCGCGGGGACGCTAACCCCTGAAATCATTTCAAGATAACCTCCACTATCCTCCCCACCATCTCCAACTCCCACGTCCCCTCCTCCTACATACCATTCCCCTCCCCGTCCCTTCGTCCTCTCCACCATCCCTCACTCCCTTGTCCCCCTTGTCCTCCCCCACCATTCTCCATTCCCCCTTGTCCCCACCATCCCCAATTCCCTCGTCCCCTCGTCCTACCCACCAATCCACCAATCCCCTCTACCCTGTTCCCTTGTCCTCCCCGCCGTCCCCCACTCTCTCATCTGATGTATTCCCAAATGATCTGATGTTCCCATCAGAAAATTGGGAACATCAAATGACCTGATGTTACCATCAATGAAATATAAGAAAAACTTAAAAAACGAAATGAAAAATATGAAAAAATAATAAAATAAACTATGCTCGAAACGAACGGTATGGTAAACAACACAGCTCAATTCCAACACAATGTAACACAAAATAATTAAATTAACATGAAAGTAAATCGAAATCTATGAAAATTCAATTTATCAATGAACTCTGAAACATTCAAATGGAATAGTAACAAATTTAGTATAATGTGTGTTGCTCTTACGTGCAACAGATGGCATTGTTTAAGAAAAAAACATGTTTTTACCTGTCACAGGTGTGGCATCTATACTTATAATCACGAACTGAATGGTATGGTAAAAACACAGCTCAATTCCAATGCAATGTGACAAAAATAATTAAATAAAAATTAAATAAATCGAAATCTATGTAAATTCAATTTGTCGATGCAATCGGAAACATTGAAAGGGAATTGTAACATATTTAGTATATCATGTGTTGCTCTTATGTGCAACAGATGGCGCTGTTTCTTAAAAAAATTCGAATGTGTTTACCTGTCACAGGTGTGGCATTTATACTTATACTTATAAAATGAAAGGTATGGTAAACAACACAGCTCAATTCAAACGCAATGTCACACAAAATAATTCAATCAAAATGAAATTAAATCGAAATTTATGAAAATTCAATTTATAAATGCAATCGGAAACATTGAAATGAAATCATAACATATTTAGTATAGTGTATATTGCTATTAAGTGCAACAGATGGTGCTGTTTTTCCAAAAAAACAAGATTTTACCTGTCACAGGTGTGGCATCTATGTAGAAGGTATATAAAATCACACGCCTATTCAAATGAAACGTTGTGTCAAAATTTCAAAGGAATCGATGAAGAACTTTCTGAAATTACAGCGAGTGTTGCTGGTACGTCCAACAGGTAGCGCTTTGAAAAAAAAAAACATTTTTTTTCCTGTCACAGGTGAGACATGTATATAGTAGGTACATAAAAATACGCGCCTATTCAAATGCCACGTTGTGTAAAAATTTCAAAGCAATTGGTAAAGAGGTTTCGAAGATTTCCCTCACATGAAAAACACAGTTTTTCAAAAAAGGCATGTTTTTCCTGTCACAGACGTGACATATATATAGTATGTACATAAAAATCTACTCAGATGCGAATGGAACGTTGAGTGAAAATTTCTAAGCAATCGGTGGAGAATTTTCGGAGATTAGCGATTTTGAACAAATGAACATTTACATTTTTATTTATACAGATGTTATTGTGTTATTTCAATCTGGTGCAGTAATATTTCTGGCTGCCTGTATTTCATTTATATGTTTGTATGTTTCTTTGTTACCCGAAAAGTATATTGCTTTGCTGATTAAGCGGTTGAATTATTTACCCTAGACATTTGTAGTATGCAAGGGGCATTATTATGTATTTTGATTACTCCAAACGCAGAGAACCCATACCAAGAGGTCAAGGGTCATAATAGTTCGGAGGACGGACTGCAAATGACACAAGTTATAAAACAAAGCACTTAATTAAGCTTACTTAAAGTGATCAAACCGAATGAAACTTTATAACTGTCACATAGTTAATAAAAGCAATATAAAAATAACTACTAAAACAAACCACACTATTAAACTTAGGTGAAGTGATCAAATGGAGCAAAACTTGATAATTAACACATGGATAATCAACGCTAATAAAACTAATAATAATGCTAATAATAATGACTTCACACTCACAAAAAATGTATATAAAACACAAGCAAATTAGAAGACAATTGTAAAACACTAGCCAAAACCTTATGAAAACTAGTATCAAACAAAACTAAATACTAAAAATATGTATTATATGTCTTAAATAAAAGACTATAATACAATACAATATCAACACTTGAAATAAGTAAAAAAAGACAAAACATGGTAAACTAAAAAAATATAAAAATGCCAGTATTAACTTTTAATTAAATTACAAGGCCTACTGTGTAATATACAGTGTACAATTGAATAGCCGAAAGATTGCTATTTAACAGAGGTTGCAGCTCCCTGATATATAAGGATTCCATTATACTCAAATTCGACTGGCCATTCATACAAGTATCTAGAATTTTAAAATCGTATTCAGCAAAGAATGATTCAACTCATGACAATGATTTCTACTCTCCGAGAATGCTGGTTTAGATAATGGGAATCTAGTCCTAAATGATACTCCCCGGTGCTCAAGTATCCTAATCTTAAAGTTCCGAATGGAACTCCCGAGGTATCCAGCATTACAGCTGCAATAATTATACATATATACAATACTAGAGCTCAGGGGGGTAAGCACTTTATCTTTAAATTTAAAATAGGAGCCTATGGTATTTGTATTGACAAAAATAAATCTAAAAGCTACTTGAGGATAACAGTGCTCTAAAAGATTCCTCAATTGACTTCTTACATAAAAACTAATTGTGACAAAATTGTAATTTAATATTTTTAATATCCCTTTCTACTGTAGTAATCCTACAAGAAGAGTGAAACTTCTTATTTAAGAAATTCCTTATATAAGTATATACCATATGTGGAAGATAGCCATTATTTGAAAAAAAATTCACAAGGAAATTAATTTCTTTATCAGAATTAGACCAATTCGAACATAAAACGAAGGCTCTATTCGGTAGAATATTAATTGCATTTTTCTTAAAAATATCAGGAACAAAAGAATTAAAATTTAAACCTAAGCCAGTAAAAGTTGGTTTTCTATAAACATTAGTGTTAAACTCATTAAGGTTATTCACTTTGACATCAAAAAACGACAACGAATTATCCACTTCACACTGCAGTGAAACGTATATTACAATGTTGTGCATTAAGATTCTCTCTAAATTTCTCAATATGACATTGGTCCTTAAATAATAAAAAATAAAAAAGATTTTCTCATGGATTTGGTCTGTTCTTACTCTGTCCACCAGTGACAGGCACGCCGTGAAGCGAAGTGGTTTATTTTGGACCCGTTGGATCTTCAGCATGTTGGTTTTGTTGGTAAGGTTCAAGGGGCCATAAGGTACTCCAGGCTAGGCCTCTCCTCCTAAGTACTCCAGGCTAGGCCTTATGATCATTATGTACAGATGAAGCTTGATGTGGGATGGGGCTTGCCTGAAGCGGACAAGCCTCGACAGGGAACCCCTAGCCATCGCTGTCTTCTGGGAGACGTACTGGGTGGAGTTGAATAGCCTGTTGAAGTTGTATCCAAGCACTTGTTGGATTTTGAGATGGCTATGGGTTCACCCCTGATCCTTATCCCTCCCTCCACCCTTATCTTCGATTGAGAAGGCCGTACATCCGACAGTGCTTATTTGGATCTTATCTGAGTTAGTGGTGATCCTCCATTTTCTTTCCCAGTTAGCAGTCCTGGCTAGGTCTACATTAGCCTTACAGGTTACAGTCGCGTGTTTTGTGGGAACCGACCTGTGAGATTTATATTTATTTAATTTATATGAATTTATATTTACGTTAATTTGTATACTTCGATAGCAATTTGTATGATGTTAAGTGGACTGTATTTCTGCAATAATCTCATAATCTCACAAATCGATCCTCTACACATTAGGGGGGTTTATATTAAATTTATATATATGCAGCCAATCAAACTACACATATTGAAGAGGTTCCTTATCTTATTGTACAGCAGGCCTCAGTCCACCAGGTATAACCAGGATGTAGACACCAAATTATCCTATTTTGAGGCAGTTTCCAACATCCAGTAACTGATGCACAAAGCATGCTTCCTCGTCTTGACCTGTCAAAAGGGCGCTAGCTATGAAGCCAGAATCCTAATATATGACAGCTATATCAGAGAAAACACTGTACATGGAACCATATAGACCTGGGCTTAATTACCTTTAGTATGAGGCGATCTCGTGCTCTAACTGGTTCACCCTATATCTACTGACATTAATGGCCATAAATGAAAGATAAATGGGTTTCGGCAGAACACTTAACTTGAATTTGTTGACAGCGTGTTGATGATGGTACACCTTTGGTTTCCATAACACTTCGTCCAAGTAAAATTAACAGGAGCCGAATTGCTCCCATGCCTCTGGTCTAATACAATAACAATGGCTGACCACTCCCTCCTCACTGACGCTACTTGCCTATATTGTCCAGATGACAGTAAGTGATAGAAGGGTCACATTTACTCTATTTTAATTCTGATAATTAAGTTAATTTATATGAGATGTTTTTATGATGGTAAAGTCCAAAGACTAATGTATTTAAGAATAATTCCCACCATAATAGGTGGTGAATTTATAATAGTATGTGGTAATGATATCCCGTTTTCTATAGACGGAAATTCCACTACAATTTACATTTTCTATGGGTAACTTGTTTATACAAGACAGCAATATTATCTGTCTGTATGATATTATTATTAAATGGTGTCGGATTTTCCGACATGTTTGGCTGTTTGGGTTAGATGTTATTACGTCGTCATGCGTGTTACGTTGTCAGCAAATTGGACGATGATGGTGTCCCTGTACTCTGGTTGGGGCAGGTCATTTACGAAAAAGTTGAAGAGGACCAGGCTCAGGCACGGTCTTGGGGGACTCCAGCTGTTGGGGTGAAGGCTGCTGCCGGTTTCGCCTTGAAGCTGGGAGTAACTTGTCCGTTCTTTAGGAATTTTCTGATCATCCTGAAGAGGGTCCAGTTTTGGGCTGGTAAGTCTGCTAATTTGTACACCAGGTCATCGTGCCATAGGCTGTCGAAGGCCTTGTGTACGTCTCTCATCGCAATTAGGGCCACCTGTTTTTGCTGGCGAACTGAGCTTACAGCATCGTAGATGCTGTAAGCTCTTTGGTTCGAAAGCCAAATTGTTTTTTCTGTGAAGAGGTTGTTGTGCTCCATACAGTAGTTGAGACGGTTGGACATGTTTTTTCAAAACACTTGCCTATTGTGTCTAAGAGGGAGATTGGGCGATAGTTGCCGAGCTGGTGGGGGTCTTTCTTGGGTTTGGGGATGAATATCATCTTGGTCGATTTCAAAGCTACGAGAATGTGGCCAGATGTCAGCATGGGGATGAATAAGTGGAGTAGGGATTGCAAAAGATTGCCTGGTAGGAGTTTTATCTGCTTGGCTTTGATCCCAGATGGTCCTGGTGCCTTATCTCGGATGCTCTTAATGTCCCCTCTCATCTCTACCATTGACATTGGTCTTATTAGGGGGTAGTGGTTTTGGAGGGTTGTTAGGTCTATCAAGGAGGTGCTGAGTAAGAAGGCGGTGTTTTCCGTGGTCCATTGGTTGACACGGTTGAAGTGTATGTTGTTAAAGGCACTGCTGTTTGAAGCCGCGAGTGTCTTTTTCCATACTGCGCCCATGAGGTTAGCCTGTTCTTGTGGGTCTTCTACTTTTGCTTGTTGTTCCTCGTCATCTTCGTCTAGGAATGTGTGAACGATGTGGGTGAGGCTGGGATTAACCGATCCCAAGAGCTCTCTGAACCGGGAACCAGAAGGTTCCCGGTTCCTTTTTGTACTGGTTGGCTTGTCTCACAAGGGTTCCCAGATGTGGTTCTTGCAAGTCAGCGTTAGGTCTATGGTTTCCCTTCTGAGTGTTTGTAGGGCTATCCAGTTTGTAGGTCAGCTATGCCAGCCTTGCTGGCAGCTAGCCAGTTTGGTAGTGACGTTGGCAGACTCATTGATACTCATACATTTTACCTCTGATATCTCGGGTCGGTTTATATTGGTGGAAAGTCCTTGTGGTGGATCTTTCACAGGTGGCCTCAGTTGCGAGCTGGGTGCGGTTGTGGATGGTGTTTACGGCTTGGTCAATTATTTTGACGATGAAAATTATGATATAGCGATGCAACTTTCACAGGACAATTATTCTAACAAAGTGATAAGCATTGCTAATCTCTACTACCAGTTAGTGGATCTGGCTCCACCTGTTAATAAACCAGACCTAATTTCAAAGCTTTAGGATAAAGGTGGAATCACTGATCAAGACGCTCGGTGCGAAAGTAGATACAGAAGCTAAAGAATGGTCATTAAAGCTAGACATTCAAAGGAAATTTGCTAAAGTTGTACTATCTATTATCAGTTCTCACTACAAGGTGAACAGTCTCTCCCTTAAACACATGATAAAATTAATCAACAACTGTGAAGTCTTCAGCTGACGAATCTTATTAAACCAGATAAGTCAATGAAGGATGAAGCTAATCTACATTATAAGTAGAACAATGGCAGCGTGGGGAACCTATACAGTCTCCCCCAGTAATACCTGTCGTTACTGTAACTCTTTCAATGGAAGAACCAAGAACACCTATGACAAGTTATGAACATTGTTCTGTGAACAAGAACATTCAGTTTATCAATGCCCTAAATTACCAGACCATGTCAGTAGAACTAGTTGGTAACAGCAGCTGAGATGGTGTAGGTGGCGCCTGCGGGCTCACAACCCTAGCAGCTGCGATGGTGTAGATGGCGCCTGTGGGCTCACAACACTAGCAGCTGCGATGGTGTAGGTGGCGCCTGTGGGCTCACAACCCTAGCAGCTGCGATGGTGTAGGTGGCACCTGCGGGCTCACAACCCTAGCAGCTGCGATGGTGTAGGTGGCACCTGCGGGCTCACAACCCTAGCAGCTGCGATGGTGTAGGAGGCGCCTGCGGGCTCACAACCCTAGCAGCTGCGATGGTGTAGGTGGCGCCTGCGGGCTCACAACCCTAGCAGCTGCGATGGTGTAGGTGGCACCTGCGGGCTCACGTCAACCCTAGCAGCTGCGATGGTGTAGGAGGCGCCTGCGGGCTCACAACCCTAGCAGCTGCGATGGTGTAGGTGGCGCCTGCGGGCTCACAACCCTAGCAGCTGCGATGGTGTAGGTGGCACCTGCGGGCTCACAACCCTAGCAGCTGCGATGGTGTAGGTGGCACCTGCGGGCTCACAACCCTAGCAGCTGCGATGGTGTAGGTGGCGCCTGTGGGCTCACAACCCTAGCATCTGCGATGGTGTAGGTGGCGCCTGTGGGCTCACAACCCTAGCAGCTGCGATGGTGTAGGTGGCGCCTGTGGGCTCACAACCCTAGCAGCTGCGATGGTGTAGGAGGCGCCTGCGGGCTCACAACCCTAGCATCTGCGATGGTGTAGGTGGCGCCTGCGGGCTCACAACCCTAGCAGCTGCGATGGTGTAGGAGGCGCCTGCGGGCTCACAACCCTAGCAGCTGCGATGGTGTAGATGGCACCTGCGGGCTCACAACCCTAGCAGCTGCGATGGTGTAGGTGGCACCTGCGGGCTCACAACCCTAGCAGCTGCGATGGTGTAGGTGGCGCCTGCGGGCTCACAACCCTAGCAGCTGCGATGGTGTAGGAGGCGCCTGCGGGCTCACAACCCTAGCAGCTGCGATGGTGTAGGTGGCGCCTGTGGGCTCACAACCCTAGTATCTGCGATGGTGTAGGTGGCGCCTGTGGGCTCACAACCCTAGCAGCTGCGATGGTGTAGGAGGCGCCTGCGGGCTCACAACCCTAGCATCTGCGATGGTGTAGGTGGCGCCTGCGGGCTCACAACCCTAGCAGCTGCGATGGTGTAGGTGGCACCTGCGGGCTCACAACCCTAGCAGCTGCGATGGTGTAGGTGGCGCCTGCGGGCTCACAACCCTAGCAGCTGCGATGGTGTAGGTGGCACCTGCGGGCTCACAACCCTAGCAGCTGCGATGGTGTAGGTGGCGCCTGCGGGCTCACAACCCTAGCAGCTGCGATGGTGTAGGTGGCGCCTGTGGGCTCACAACCCTAGCAGCTGCGAGACAACACTGAGAACGTGTCGAAAATGTGGTAAAGGTCGACACCACACAGCTTTGTTTGACGGTAGGAGAGCTACTCGACCGTCATCTGGAGCTAAGTCTAACTGTACAGCAGCAGTCAACTACTGCTAAGTAAAAGGCAGCGGAGGGACTATGTTGACCCACACCAACACTACAGCAACACTACCAACAGCCATGTTAACTCACCACCAGGGTAAAAGGAAACTCTTGGTCACTCCTGGTTTGATGATGGCTCACAAGAAAACCTTTGCCACCCAGAGGGTGGCGGAACAAATGAAATTGAAACAAGTCAATGATGCGGGTCACCCTGAACATACTAGAGTTTTCACCAACAGTGGACCTAAACCCTACAACGTAGTAAAACCACATTTTCAACGGGAGTTAATACCTGTACTCGCAATTGTGGTGGACAACTTCCCATCTGACATACATATGCCTGGATTTGGAACCACGATTAAATACTTAAAACAATATGGAGTTTAAATAACTGAATCCCAAATTAAATCTGATCATATCAACTATATTGGGGTGTTAATCGGGTCAGATTACTATCGTAAATTCATCGCCAGCACACAACATGGCTACTGTTGTGTGCCAGTGATGAATATTGCATGGGATGACAGTACTTAACCCAGCTGGTGAGAAGTTGTTGAATGAGTCGGAAAATCCGACACCATTTAGTGGAATTGTAGTGGAATTTTCCATCAATAGAAAACAGGATATCATTGCCTCATACTACTATAACTTCAGCAGCTATTTGTTGGGAATTATTCTTAAATACATTAGTCTTTGGACTTTTACCATCATAAAAACGTCTTATTTGAATTAACTTAATTATCAGTATCAAAATAAAGTAAATGTGACCCTTCTATCACTTACTGACATCTCTACAAAGTGAGGGAGGCATCAGTGAGGAAGGAGTGGTCAGCCATTGTTGTTAAGACCAAAGGCGCTGGGAGCAAATTCGGTTCCTATAATTTCTCTTGGACGAAGTGTGACGGAGATCAGAGTAGTGGTCTTCCATCATCATCACGCTGTTAACATAATCAAGGGAAGTGTTCTACCGAAACCCGTTTATCTAATCATTTTTGATCATTAATGTTAGGTACATATTGGGCGACCGGTTAGAATGCGAACTCGCCTCATACTAAAAGTAATTAAGCCTTGGTCCTTATCATATATAATATACAGTGTTTTCTCTGATATAGCTGTCATATATTAGGATTCTGGCTTTTCAGCTAGCGCCCTTTGACAGGTGAAGAAGAGGAAGCAAGCTTGGTATATCAGTTAACAGGGTGATGGAAGCTAGCCTCAATCGAGGATAATTTGGTGTCTACATCCTAGTTATACCTGGTGGACTAAGCCTGCTGTACAATAAGATAAGGAACCTCCTCAATGTATACTAATATATGTAGTTTAATACTGTAGTTTGATTGGCTGCATATATATATAAATTCAATATAACCCCCCCCTAATGTGTATGGATCGATTTGTGAGATTATTGCAGAAATACAGTCCACTTAACATCATACAAATTGCCATCGAAATATACAAAATTAACGTAAATATAAAATCAATATAAATTCATATAAATTAAATAAATATAAATCTCACAGGTCGGTTCCCACAGACTGGACCTGTATTAAGATTTTAAGGTTAACGGGTAAGGTTAAAGGTTAAAGGTTAAAGCTAAACCAGTCTGAACCTACCGAAACCGTACAAGCTGAGACTGGCATAGGTGCCCGAGTGTGACTGGAATATTCTCCCCTTTGAAATTGCACAAAGGGAAGAGGAAGGACTGGAACCAGTACACAAACTCTGGGATCTGAACACTCTTGGTATCATACCAGAACAAAAATGTCCAGAGGATAAGACAGTGTACCAGAACTATTTCGATACAGTGGTTTGCATTGATCACCCCCAATTACCCACAAACAAGTTGTTGGCATACAATCAATTGAGAACTCAGGTGTTGAGACTACCAAAAAATCCTGAGCATCTCTGACTCTTCCATCACATTATAAAACAGCAATGATACAATAAATTTATTGTAGTTGTGCAAACCGAAAACCCTAAGGGGGAACACTATTTGCCACACCTTGTCATATTGAAATCCTCAGCT